TGTAGGTACAAAAACCTATAAATAGTGCCAAATTGCCTCAACTCCCACTTAACATACTGTAAAAAAATGCAAGCTCCCATCAAGATGCCCAGAGGCATAAATAAAATGCTTCTGAGAGGTGAACTGACAGATAATTTCAGAATTTATTGCAATGTTTAACATTGAGACCTGTGGATTCCAAGTCTGGAACCATGGTTTTGCTTCAGGTACCCAAGCTCCCTAAACAGTGAAAGGGGAAAATGTGTCTTGCTGAGGGAGTCACAACAGCCTAGTTTTCTTAGGAAATCACTGTCTAAACCATAGGATTTAAATCTTACTTCTCACATCTCCGATGATTGCTTTAATCTGCACTACAGGACTGTCCCTGCTTCCCTAGGAATCACATCCCTGAGGTGTCCCCTGAGGGCAAGTTGCTTCCAAAAGCTGAGCAGTGCTTACATCTTCTTTTTCTTTGACAGGCAGTGAGACAAAGTTGTGCCATTGCCATACTCCCCTGCATTTTCTCTTGAAAGGATTCAAATGTATAGCATCACTGCCTGCCTTTCCCCAGCAGCAGCCTCCCAACTCAGGTGTAGATTACACTGGGGAAGAATGCTTGCTGCCCACCTGTGGCAGTATTTGATTTTTCATGCAGTGATTAAGTGGTATACTCAGAGGGGCTGAAGGTGAGAATAATTCTTTAGCAGGGTGGTTAAAAGCAAGAGGAGGGGTGTCCTGGGTTACAGTCCCTGTCCCAATGAATCTGCCATGTAGAACGCTAATACAGGTAGGAATTCAACTATTACTGCTATTATCACTGGATCAATGAATAGTTAATTATTTCCTGCAAATTGGAACAATTTCAATAAAGAAGTTTTACTTCTCTTAGGACACTTTGTAGAATATTCTGTAGGTAGGGGCTAGAACACAGTTTTTAGAAATGAGTTTTAGCCCTTGAAGTGTATCTTTGGATAGGAAATAAACCAAATCTTCCACATATTGTGTGCATACTCTAAAAGTTGATCTCAAATGCATAGTGCCTGAACTCAGCTTTAATATCTGCTGCCCAGAAGCTGAACCTTAGATGGCAGGAGGACTTTCATGTCATATAAAAGAATCAAGAAAATCCAAACTGAAATAAATGAGAGTCCCAAAGACTACATGCACATCCAGACACACCTAAAGAAGGATTTTGAAAACTATAGTTCTGAATGTAGATACTTATTCATAACACATACTTACTTAAATAACTGGAGTTATATATACACAGATAAAACACAGAACTTCTTTTATTTAATCAAAAGTTGACATTGCTTATTATCGTGAAATAATGGACATTTACAGTCATATAAAGCAATGTAAGTTTGGAGAGGGGATTGTTTTGTTTTCCTGAGCAATTAAGTTTGAAGTTGAGAACTATAGCTTCTCCAAATGCATCAGCACCTGGAGGAACAGCTCGTTTCTGAGTCATGCCTTACCTCTGATATTGGGAATCACTCCTATCTAAAAGGAGAGCCTTAACAGACTTAGGATGTCATGGTAGATCTTACACTACACTTGTTTTCTGCCCCAGCTGGATAGTGCATTACTGCTGCAACACCATTCTTCTCTAAGGCACTATCACTGTTGATTCACAAGTTATTTAATTTGCTATCAGAACAGTGAGTGCAGCACATAACATCTTTGGATGTTACAATGTATGCCTTCCCCATGTTTAGATATCACTGGGCTAAAAGTCTTCAGTTTGAAAGAACACCACATCCTGAAAGGCACTGGAGTTGTTCACTCTGGGTCCAAGAATGCCAGAATTGAAAAACTGTATATGTGGAGAAAAAAGCCAGTAGGAATGGGATTTGGGTTCTGTATCATTTCAGTTTATTTTTTATTAAAGAGTTATTTAGAGAATCATAGGTTACACCTTATTTGCATAGTAGATCATAAAAACACTCCATCATAATCTTTGTGTTTGTGGTTAATGCACTAATAAACTGTTATTTTATTTACAGGCTACCGTAAGGTTCCCTTGTTTTCCAAAGATGGTACCAATCTCGAACCTGCATCACTATTTGTTCATGTCTGGTCCAGTTAATGGTCGTCTGCAGTAGCACTTGTTTTGGAGGATCACACTTTGCTCAATAAAGCAACATCATTAGGCTTGCAACAATCCAGTGGTCTGATTTCCAGGATGGCACGGTCTCAATGATTTTATTAAGCTAATGGGACTTCCTGTGTGAGTAAATGGTATCCTGAATAAGTAATGGCTACTGACATTGCCCCTGCCGTTATTTAGAACTAATTCATAAAGACTGAACTTTTTTGGGCATTTTTAAAATTCATTTAATAATTTCTTTTTTAGCTAATTTCAAAATTATGATGAATTGCTGAGTGAGAATAATAGTCTGGTATTTATGATTTGAGACTGCAAAATTATGAGCATGTTACATTGACATTTTTATTCATATTGAACAAAATTTCTTACCATTGTATCTTTCCAAGGGAACAGGAAAATTTCCACATACCATGTACCCTTTAAATTTATAATACCGGCAGCTTCTGATTGGGCTATACCTCTTTAATGTCCACTGTAATTTTGCTACCTGGAAAAATAGTTTTGAGAAAAAAAACAGCTCTTAAAATGATAAAAACTTAGGTGCTAATATCGGTACCTTTTCTTAGCTTAGTCTGGAACCTCCTGCTGCGAAAGAAACACAAATAATTCACGGACTGATTTGTAAAGGGCTAAGTTCCTTATAGCAGCAGGGAGCTCAGGATACATCTTACTGTGAACTCGGGAAATAGGAAGCACAATGCTTTGAGGTGTACTAGAAGAATTTTAGAAAAGGCAAGGGTTGATTGTGTGATTTAAGATCTCCTAGGACAACTTCTTGTCTGACTTAGCTGTCAGTGTATATCTTGCCCATAAGACACAATTTTCCCATCTTCCTTACAAAACTGAAGTATTGCTGAGCTTCCACAGGACTATTATCTACCCAGTTAATTGCATATTTGTTACTCAAACATGGCTTTTTTTTTTTTTAAGGGGATGTTGTATTGATAGGTTTCTTTCTTTAACACCAAAAAGTATTGCTTATCTTTGCAGACAGTTCTGATAATATTATATTTTAATGCTCTTTTTAATGCTATTTTATTTAATGTTACTCTAAGATGGAAAATCAGGGCATACGGTAAACAATTATTAGAAAATGTCACAGGAAATAACACTACTGGAAAATTGCATTATGGTTATAATAATGAAACCAAGACAGTAGACTAAGAAGAATCTAAAATCAATATTGAACTGTAAGGTCAGGTAATTTGATAACATTGTAAGCTGGCCTCAATGTGTTTTCTGTGCTTGAGTGACAAGTCACTTGATTCTTTACCCAAGAGAGCTTATAATCTAAAATGTTAGACTTACTGATCATATCTGTATGCTAGCCAATATCCCTTTCATGTGCTAAATATTTTACAGCTTTTTTTCAGCTCTTAAGAACAATATTCATATTCAAGCAGAGTTCTCCCCACCTCCCCTTACTGAGGAGGAGTTTAGATACACCAGATTGCCTGGGGAAATTATTCTTAGATAAAAATGGACCAAATGACTTAGTCAACTGGTTCGATGCTGAGAAAAACTCCTGCTTATTTAGTTTCCTAAATAACACTCCTAGTCCCTCTTCAGGAGCTTTATACAACATTACGTTCTGAAGACTGATTTATGAGTGTTCTTTGGGAGAAGGTGGCAATTGTCTTCAGCTTCTGGCATTATTATCCCTCTGTTGACCACTTTTCCACTTGGTAGTACAAATGTCAGACCTACTCAGTACATGGTAACTTAAAATTTTACAGTAGATCAGATCACAAATCAACATGTCTCCTGTGCCTTAAAAATGTGTCCTTAGTCCTAGAAAGGTGTATATATACCTGGTCAGCTATGTGTGTGTAAGAAGCTGGCAATAATGGACAGTTCATTATGGCTGCTTACATGCTAAATGTTTAAAGATGTGCTTAAGTGCTTCCTCAATTTACGTAAAAAAGCTTTGAAGAACAGAGCCCATAATTAGCCTTAGTGAACTCAAAGGAGCCACTCATGTTCGTTATTTAGTATGTATATATACATTTTATAGGCCTGAGGTCAATGCATGCATGTATTGACTTGATTCCCTTAAGCAGCCTAAGAATGCAATGTGGTAAGACAGGTGAACAAAGATTCCTTACAGCATGATCTTAAAGAAATACCACACTGAAAACTCACATTCAATATGTTTTGTTTATTTGTGAATATTAGCTTATCCCTCCTCTTTTCTTCTCACAAACGATCAGTTATATGTGCTTCTTGGATGTCAGAATAAAAGAAACAATGACTTAGCTTATTGACAAATGAATATCCTGAATTGAATGTTACATTATATCAAAGGTTAAAAGCACACCAACATATACTGCACAAAATGTTTAAAGTGCAAAGCTTTTAAGTTCTTTTTTAAAAAAAAGTATTGATTGTATGAGATTTAACGTGAAATTTGCTAGGCATCTGAAATGTATTGGCACCCAGGGGACTATCCCATGGTTCTCTGGTGAAATCATCAAATGCAGTGGGGTCGTAGCAGATGCTGATAAATTACCCCACTATCAGCATTGCTTCAACACAGTCAGTCCAATTAATGGGAAAAGAATTAGGCCCCACACTTTGTTGTGTACAGAATTTAGCATTTTTACAGTACTATTTAATACAAACAAAACAAAAATATTTATTGCTGTCATAAGAATTTCCTGCATGCTGCTACATATTCTTAGCATGAGCTTTCTTAAACTCACACTGACAGGAATCTGCTGCAGGAAGATGCTAGCAATTTGAAGACAATAGCTTTATGATTAGAAATGTAGTATGTGATCAGATATATTAGAAATAGTATGTGATCAGCAGATGATTGCATATTCTCAAGGGCAACTGAGACAAAATGTACTGTGGGAAATGGGATAAAGAAACATTAGTGGATAAATAATTGAATTATCTTAGACAACATTTAAATTACACTGTTTCCCAGTGGATACCACTTTTCTTCATTTAACCGGACACTGCTCAGTTGAATGTTAACAGCTCCAACAAACGTTTCTTTGCTTTTCACAACAAGCTTCAGTATACGGCCTCTGAGCTCTGTGACTTTGTCATACACAACCTGAAATAATATAGAAACACAGAAAAAAACCATAAGAATTTGTGAATCTCTTTGACAGGCATCACACTTAATTCAATACAGCATTCAACATGATGATGACAACTTTGTAATAACTGCTTTAAACTGCCCTCCAGAATTATAAAATACTATTAGCCAAATTCATTTAACTTAGTGAATTTACATCAGAAATATATTTGAGCTTATGTAGTTTATATAAAAGAGATTCTGCCAGCTTCGGCTTGTGAAATCTGATTACCAAGCATTTGTAAATAAATTTGAAACCTGTGTTGTGCAACGCTGGAGAAAAAAAAAAATAGGTATACATAATTTTCCCTGTGAAAATTGAAACTCGTAACTTAAGCAGAGTTTTGAACTCAAATGTGAAGAAATATCAAATCTTCCATGAATTTCACCAGGGAATGATATTACAGTTCATTTTCTGGAGGAGAGATTCAGATGGAGGGTAGTCATCATGGACAGCGGCATAAAACATAAGATGGGTAATTCTGTAAAAAAGTAGATTACCGTAATTTTTAAATATCTTTCCATAGCTTTGATATTGGTATTCTCTTCTTCAAAAATCAGAAAAAAAGCAGGAAAACAGTTTGATAATAAACTTTTTTTAACCTATGTATATTGTATTTGTTAGATGTTCCTTAGTAGTGCCTTAAAGCAACTTCATGTTGCACTGATATGTCTTACAAAGGTGTATCACATCAATGCACAGTACCTCAGAATTTTTTCTCAGTACAGTACTTGTGATTAAATCTTGTGCTACATACCAGAATTAAAAAAGATCAAGCTAAAGCAAAAACAAATTTTCTTCCAACCAAGACTTCTATAAAATTTCAAAACTGTTCTAGAACCAACAAACCCACATCATAAAAGAGATAACAATTTTCCTTTGAAAACTGTCTGTATAAATTTTACTATTTCAGTACAAATAAGTTTATGCATAATTCTGGATGCTAACTGTATCCAAATGTGCCCATTATAAAAATGCATGCATTTTTAAATGGAATTATCAAGCATTAAACATGCCAGAAAACTCAGCCCACTCAGTACAAGTTGTAGCTGTGGAACATCTCTGAGATTGGACCCAATTTAGCAAGTGGAACTTGCTAATTTGGATGTTTCTGTTACTCGAGGAGTGCTGTTAATACTTCTCAAAGTAAACAAGATGGCTTGCTTAGCATCTCTTTAGAAAATTAGTAAGGCCTATAGTTTTTAAAATATCCTTGAAATTACCTTAATAGTATGAGAACACACTGAGGTTAATTGTGAAATGTTAATGGTGTATTTTCTGAGTTTAAAAACAAAAACGATCTGGAGTGATAGGCTAACCAGAATGAGCTGCATTCAGAACAGATTCCTACATTTCAGTCTCTGCATTAACAAAAATCTGCTGAGTGAACTGCATGTGGGTTGATAAAATGTGAAAGAATACTCTCAGCTAGTTTCAGGCCTCAAAGGTAAGCTTTGTTAAGAGAAGTACATTTAATCTAAAATTTGTATGGCTGGAAATGTTTTTGCTATTTTAATTGCAGTGGAAAATGCTTTAAATTTTAATCTCTCTGTGCAGTTTAAAAAGCAAATGCAGTGACATACTGTCACTTCAGGAGAATGGGAAAGTGAAACTGCCTAAAAGGCATTTGCCATGCAACCTGCTTGGATTTACTGTGCGGTTTGAATGCAGTTTATACATATGGCAGCGCTGAGGAAAAGAAAAGTCAGACTGAGCCTTCTCTAGCTTGGATCTCTGCAACCTGCACTACTGAGTCCTCTCTGTACCTCCAGTTATAAGAAGCAGAAACTGCCACGGGAGACGTCCTTCAGACAGGGACGGAGTTTATAAAGGCTCAGCCCCAGCAATGTTCCTCACACCGAGTGGCAACAGAAAGGTGGTTCTGAACTTCACGGGTGGAGCCAGGAGGCACAAAACCGTTGGTTCTCCCATACAAGGCTAGCTGGCCTCCGCTGCCCCTGTGGGACCCCGGAGCAGTTGTGGCCACACTGCAAGCGGCAGGGATGCGCAGAGAGTGCCAAACAGATGGGACATTGGGCCAGTCTGGCAGCAAGTGTCGACAGACAGGACACCAGGCTCTCTGGGGCGGGGGGATAATTGGTGCTGTGGGGATGAACGTCCACTGCCACAGGTTGTGGGGGAAAGAAAAACTGTCCCACTCACTCTTTTAAACTGGCTTTTGCTGGAAAGGTCTTAGCAGGGAGAAACATTTCCTTTTCCATTTAGAAACCTTTGGAAAAGCTGTCACGAAAGTCATGCCTCGTGCTTTTCAGTTTTGATGTTTACTGTGCCTATTTCACCAAATTGTATGTGAATTAAAAACTCCAGCTTCTCTGTCTCTCAATGGCATCTCTTCACCAAAATCAAAATAAAATGAAGAAAATCCAAAAAGCAAGGACAGATACAGTAAGCGGTAATATAATTTAGAATAAATCTATGATTTGATTACTGATGTGATACTAATGCTACCGTAGAAAGGTATCTTTATTTAAAGATATCATCTTCAGCAGTTGCTTTAAATCACCAAAAATTGTACATGTAAGCTGTAAAAGCTAAGAAATATTCAGTACAGTGGATCACAACAGGAGTGAATTGGGGTAGTGAACAACTTTCAATCTTTGGACAAAAAGAGGCTTTAAGCTTTAAGCAATGACAGACCTTACAGTGCAGGGTGGGTGGTTTTCAAATGATCCCAATAAACTGTTTCCGAAATGCTATTGCAAATTCAGCTGGAGCAAGGTATATATCATCAGGATGTAGGGACAGAAGAAAGGTCTGGAGATAGCTGAATTAGTATATGGATAAAACAAGTGCCACCTCCTAGAATTTCATAATCAGAACAGTTAAATTCTGAAATGATTGTGTAGCAAGGATATTTGTCTCCCATTTATACAGCTATATCAAATGGAGATGAGTTATGCACAGCCACGCAGCAAATCAGTGGGACAGTTAGGGCTGGAATTCAAGCATTCCTGGCTCCAAAAAGAGAAGCACTGTTGACCTACAGGAGTTTAATGACATTTTAATCGCAAATGCGGGACAGTTGCTTCTCCTTAGGTAGCCATGGCACAGTTCCTAGATTTGCTCTTAATTGTCCAAATTAGCTTTGACGCATGGCGTTGGAGGGAGCGGCTGTGCCTCCGGGAGCAGCTCCCCTCCTCGCCCTCCATCAGGGTTGCTGGGGCTGTCCTGGTTGTTGCAGGCCAGCATCCTCTCTGCTCCAAGGGCAGCTGCAATAACACTAGCAGACTGACATAGTATATTTGCTTACATTTGGCCGCACCCCACAGGCAGGATGGAGAGAGCTCCCTCTCAGTCTGGCTTCACTGTGGCAATGCACACTCTGCTTTGTCTTGGAGGCTTCCTTGTTTCATGGGGGTGTGTACATGCAGGCACTCAAGAGACAAACTAAGGACAACCGAGACCTTGAAGCATGTCTCAGAGCAAATGCTATACATACGCGCAAGACCCCACTGCAGTTGGTTCTGGTCATTGCGGCTTTTATTGGCAAGAGTTTAAACTTAAATAATTCAGATTTATTTTCAATTTTTTTACTTTCTTAGTTTTCACTAAAATACTCTGGAACCTCCTGAGTAACTCTTATTTATTCCTAACAGTGGTCTATAAGCAGGTATGTTATTATTTTTCTCTTTACACTGCATTTCATTTTTCTGTGTTTTTTCTCCTCTTCTTCTCAACTATCATTTTTTAATGCAATATTATACCAGTGTGAAAGCAACAAACCCCAAAATCCAAATAAAGGAACAAGAGAAAAAGGGAGTGCTTGTTAAAAGCAACTTCAAAACATTTGGCATAGTTCATTCTATTGTCAGCCCTTCCGGACTTTCACATCTTTACTCTCACACACGAGTAAAAATCAAAAATAAAATGCACTTTTGCAAGGCTGATAATTGCTGTAGGCAGTCATAAGCAATAAAAGTACAACTCTAGAAACAAAAATACCCAAGAGAAGCACATTTCAGAATTTTCTGTCTCAAACACAGAGAGAAATTAATATACAGCTTCCTTCCAGCCTTTTGGCTTTAATAAAAACTTATGAACTCATAAAAAAAGGCTAGTACATTTCTGTACACAGTGTTTTGGACAGTAAGTAACTTAAAAGACAGTTGACTTATATTTTTAGTAGTTTTTCTTCCCTGGGGCAGCTTCTGCCTCAGTCTACCAGCCTTGGACAGAAAATGCATGCAGAATGACATCACATATGGAAGAACAGAGCTGCTAACAGCACAAGCATTGGGTTTGAAATGTCCAAGTTCAATGGAACCATATGTCCCCACTGTGATTAGCAGTTCCTGGTGAAAAAGATTGAGTATCTGTGAAGAAGGCTGTAAGTTTTGAGTAAAGGATATTAAAGTTTTCATGGAATTTCTCTTAACAGCAGTAGAATGCTCCTTAACAACAATTAAATTTCTTCCCAGTGACTACTGTCTGACTGCAGGCTGGATTTTGGATTTTCTTGCATTCAACTTGATTTAATAATGATTAGAGAAATAATTGACTTCCAGTGCTGCTGGCTGGTTCTTGTCTGTAGTCCATTTTGGATACTTTACAATGAACATTATTATCTGATGTATTATATTTCTATGACTTAAATATCCTTCAAATGTAAAGGAATTTCTTTAGACAGTTCGATTAGACTCATTCCACTGTCTCTATGATTGCAGAAAAGAAGAAAAGAACATAACAAAAAAATAAAGCCTAGTTCCCTGTTATTCCACTGCAGTACCATAGGGAGGGAGATCTGTTTCAGCTGTTGGCAGCAATACCACTGGAGGAACCTACTTACAGAAGTGTCAGAAGTCATCAGTCGAAGTAGGTAACTTTTGTAATCAAACAGATGTGGGAAAAGAAAAAGAAAAATATTAAAACCCCAGGACTGGGAAACTAGGAGATAAGAACTCTTAGTCTCAGCTGACTAACTTAAGCTTCATCATATCTTATCTATGAAACAGGGTGGAGTGGTAATATTTTCCATGCCTTCTACTTTAAAGCCTGCTGAATGAGCATTTGTAAATTACTTTGAGATCTTGAGGAGATTTGTTATATGTAATAATTATAATCTCCAATCCCACCTACTGTTTGAATCTCATCTGCCCTTACAAAATAATATAGTTTATGCCACTTCCCATTCTGTTGTAAATGTTTCTCCATACAAATGTTTCTTTTCACCCCAGAGGCGTGAGCACTTCAGTGGTGTGTGAAATAATTATATATGGCTGTGAACTGCTAGTATTTAGACATAAAAAGAACTTGTCTATTTATTATTGTGTTATCATTTAGGACAGTGACAATCCATTTGGTTGCCTATTTTCAAATGCGCATTTGAATAACAGCACCCGTTCAATTAGTACTTTTTATGTTATTGTACAAATCTGCAATACAAACAGCCTAGGTTTTGGTGCAATGATGCCTGATCTCATTTGGCTCACATGTAACTGTGGTTGTGGTGTAAGATAGAGTAGTGTGAATAATCCAACTGCTTTCCTGAAGAAAGAGACATAAAGAGACTGTTTCACTTCTGAGAAAGACGCAAAGCAGAAGACTGTCCCCATTTGTGGTTCAGCTTATGATATATTCCTTCTTTTTGATCGTACTCATTGCAAGAGGTCTAAATGCTGTATCTTTATTTTCTTTCAAGAGTGGGCAATGAAAATCAAACAAATAAGAAATTATGTAAGAAAGTGAATGGTACTCACAATTTCATTGTAAGTAGGGTCAGAGCTTTTTGGAGCAGTTCTTGTTTTCCTTCGACTGACCTCATAAGGATCAGGCAGAAGATAAAATTCAACATGTGCACTTGGGGCAGAGCCATCTGGGAGGCACTGAAAAACAAAATGGTCATAAATATGAATGCCATGTTCTAGCAATGAAAACAAATAAGTACCAAATGAAATCTCGACTTTAAGCAGCCACAGAAACACGTTACATTTTCAGTATTCTCTTGGCTAAATTGGATTGCTAGTGCAGTAAACAACAGGAATTCTTAGAATTCAGATTAATATTGAATCGGGAAAATAGAAATAAAATAATATAAGAACAAGGTAAAATTGTCTATTTTTCATATTTTATGTTCTGATGGAATAACCCTTAAGAGTCAACATACTTTAACTCAGCTTAATCTGATATAGTCTAGCCCTTCCATTTTCCAGAGCAATGCATAGAAACTGGATTCTAGCCAGTAAGCTGCTATTGATTTTAACACCTAAGTAGCAGTGCTGATGTTGAGGAGAACTAATTGTTTCTAAGAGTGTGTCATAAAGCATATAACTATAGAAGAGCCAGGAGCATTTCCTGCAGCAATACGGGCAGAACAGGATTCGTATAATAATAGTCTTTCCGATCTCTCCCATCACACAGCTGCAGGCTCTCTTTAATTTCCCAGCTCAGGTTACTGAACTATATTCCAGATATTCCATCTTATGGTAGCTACTTGAGATCAGAGCCAATCTATTAACCAGGCTCAGTCATAAGCTAATGCTGGTCAGTGGGGAGTTTTTTGATAAGTTCTGAACAGCTGTAAGGTTATTCCTAAAGCAACATTACAGTTACTCAGAAAACACATTGGTAGTATGAGAGGCTTTAAAAGAACACACAAGAAACATAATCATGAAAAACTATGGAACAGGTATCTTGCCAGCATATGTCACTTAGTGCTTAGCTTATAATTAAGCAGAAACCTTTGTGTTGCTAACACAGTATACAATCAGAAAGCACAAAATGGGGTATATCAAAATATCGGTAATTGTAATCATAATATCAGTATTTCGGGCAGCAAGTTCACCTGACAGCTCATTGGCAATCCAGTGACAGGATGCAAATGAAAATGCAGGCAAAAAGAAGAGATCTTAAAATGTCTGGAACCAGTGAACCCACAGCATTACACAGGCAGCTGCATTTATATTTCCCATTGTAATTTTACCTGGCTCAGAATAAAGTAATTTCTCAGATTTTGATTATTCACAGTATGTGTCTAGAAATATGGGGCTTTCTACAGGCATTATCAACAACATATTCTTGTGACAGGAGAAACTGATGGTGTCCTAGCAATAAATAACTTCTCTATTAGGAAGAAAAACACTGCTTGTGTAAGCAACCAGTTCTTGCACAACAAATCTCTTGGTTTTTGTTATCTGAAATGATCCTTCAAGGCAAATGATGTGGTCAACTGCAAAGCTTATTATTGCTATCGTTAACACTACAGAGCATCAAAGGATGCGCTACTCAGATCATTACATATTGTCAGCACTACGTGAACGATTAATGTTACTATCATTAAGCTCTCCAAAGTACATCTGATTTGAAATGTACATGGGATTTAGATAGGTGGGTTTCAATGGCCAAAATAAGAATGCAATTAAATGGCAGTGAAACTAACAGGTATTTTCCTAGGACAGAGTACCATATTATTAATGCAGGTTTTATAATTTACACTGTCTATTTGAAAGCCCATCTCTATTGATCTAGGACGATACTAATACTTCAATCAAGGATTACAACTAACAGTAAATTGAACAGTCTCTTAAAAATCAGGCAGGAAAAAGAAATGTAGCCTTAAATACCAGTCCAAGCAACAAGGATCCTAACTGTAATCAAGCTCTTCCTTTCTCAACGAATAGATAAGTATCACTGTAAGTACTGTAACTTGAAGATCAACAGATTTTAGCTGTTTCAGACATAAAAGGGAACATGGTTAAAAAAAAAGGGGGGGTGTCATTCTTGAAGAAGATCTTATCAGCTCAACTGCTGAGGCTCAGCATAATCATCTCCACTATCTCAAGGATAGAAGTACAGTACAGGGAGAGTCCTGTAAAATGTCAGGCTTTATAAATCATCCCAGCAGTGTATTGCCTAACCAGGGTCCATATAGGCTAATTTTGAAAGTTGAGGTCAGCAGCAGCTGCAAAGGGCACCAGGCTGAGGAGCCCAGATGGTAGGTAATGGGCTACAGAGGTAACAAAGAGAATGGCTGCATCCGTCCAGTTCTGCTCCCCTTTCAGCTGCCCAGATAGGACAGGGTGTAGTCCGAAGTGCTGTGCCCCACTGCACATCTCAAGACAACAAAGGCACAGATTATGGCAGCGTCGTTTGCATTGAAACAGGCTCAGTCTGACATTCACTTGCCAGGGAAAGAATCGAAGCTGATTGCCATGCTATTTTTTAACAGGAGCAGGGTATCCAGAACTGCGTGAGAAGAATCAAAAAAAAAAGTCAGATAAAATTGTCACTACAGCTTTGAGTTGCTTCTTGTACCCTGCTAGCAATGCTGGCACATTATCTAGTCTTCAGCCAACTAACCTTCCTCCATCAGCTGACTCCTCTCAAAGTCTAAGGAAGGCACTTTGCAGTAGTGCTGTGGCTGTATGAAACACGGCCAGAAAACCACTTCCTCACTAGCCCTTTGAATGTAGCTAAATACATGTTGAAAGAGGCAAGTGGGAGGATAGGGTCAAGAGAGAAAATCAAAAAAAGAGAATATTTTAGCTATTCAGAGGAGAAAACTCAAGGCAGAGCAGTTGCCCTGGGATCTTCCAGAACTAAAACAAAGCCACTTTTCATGAATAGTAGCAATCAACAGCCAAACTGTTAGAGGTAATTTAAACTGCAGCCACCTGAATTTCAACTAGAGATCTTAGTTCTGGTTGTTGAGTGTTGAGTTTTTTCCCCCATGCTTTACAAATCATATTTTCCCACTTCATTTTCCTTTGCTGATGAAAGGCAAACAGGCCACTCCAAATTCCACAACTGCCCCAATTCTCCACCTGCGGTGGCACTGTTATGCCATCAAGTGATGAAAAAGCTTCAGCTGAGCACTCTTTAAGCCAGATCACATCTTCCACTTCTCAACTGCCCTCCCCTGACTCGTGATGTGATACAACATGTCTAACAAGGGTCTCTAACTGTTAAAAATGTTCTGTCCCACTACACACTCATCATTCATAACTACAGATATAGCAGGTATAAAGCAGCCATGGCTTTAAAAGAGTAGGGCGTGGGTAGCTCGTATGATGAGCTTGTGTTAGCTTCTCTTTTGATCAGTGCAATAGTTGAACCTTTTCTTGTGAAAAGCCTGCTTCACTGATGGATCTCTTGAGACAAGACTTGCAATGGCCATGGAAGGAGCTGTACTTCGGTAGACCCTCCCTAGCAGGGAGAAAGAGGGATCTTGGCAGTTTCACAATCCTAGCGCGAAAACAAGAGCAGGATTAACATGGCAGAAATATCTCTTAAAATCTAAAGTAGGTGAAATTTGAAGTAAACTTTTTTAGTAAGACAACTGGTATGGCAGGTAAAAATCCTAAGCTTTTGGGCAAACTAGGCCTTTCTCAGGCTTTCATATACGAGTTGAGCATTTGTTTGAATAAAAGAGAATGGAGAAAACATCAGATTTTTTTTTTTCCTTTCAAAAGATTATGTCTTCTGTCATGTTTAGTGAGCAAAACCTCCGGATTATCCTTTCACTTCTAACTCAGACTGCGTTGGCAGATTTATAAACTTAGGTAAACATGAAGAATATCTGATCTATATGCCAGTCTCATTTGCATCAAAGAATATCTGTTCTGATGGGTCCATTATAAACACAGAGTAAGATTTCTAGCAGGCTTATGAGTAATTCTGAAATCCAGCAAAAATCCCTTTTGTTACTATTAGTGGCTCAAAAATCACTGATTTCTGTCCATAGTCCAGGCCAGAAGGAAAATCAAAGGGTAACTTGGGAATGCCATTTTGCACTTTATCTATGCTGCAAAACCTTTATAGCTTGAATGTACTTGTGATCAAGTAAAGAGAAAAACCCAAATTTTTAGATTGAATTCTATTTATGTTTAATTCTGTAGTCATTTCATTAACCCAACAATAAAGGAAGTTTACTTCCTTTAAAAGAAGTTACTCCAAATTTGAATTACTGTCTTAAATCTTCGATTGTGTATGCTTGTGAATAAATCCAAGCTATAAAAATCTGTAAGACTGAAAAGGTATAAAACAAAGTTCCCAACAGAAATGCCATAGCTCTTCTTCCTGTGACTGTGGACAAAAAATCCCCAGTGATTTTGATCTGCCAATAAAAAAATTTGAGTTGAATTTAGAAGCTGACTCCCTGTGCTCTCTTCAAATACAAACAAGCCATGACTGAACAATTTTCTCAGAGAATGACCTGCCTACTTGACCTTGATAATGACTGATGTTTTTAAAGAACTCAGTTACAACTGCCTGTATATATGTTTTAAAAAGCAGTTTATTTTTGAAATGTGATTTTCTTCTAAAGTCAGGCAGAAGGTGACGAAAATATTTAAGAATGACGGGCAGAGAGGGAGGGGAAATAATACTCTGAATTTACTTCTCTCCACATCTGTAATTCAGTACTGAAAAACTAATACAGATGTGTATCTGTTATGGCTGTGTTCCATTTTTCACTCCAATTTTATTTTCCAAAACCAAAAACATATTGATATTTACTTACAGAAACCCCCACAGATAGGTTATGTCCTCTGTAATTTAATTTTAAATATACTAGCTGTAGCTGGGAAATAATGGATAAAATTAAATTAATTTTTCCACAAGAGTTACATTGTCATAATGACTTTTCTCCCTTGATCATTACTAACTATCCACAACTCTCCTTAAGGATGGATTCTTTGTTAGCATTAGAAGGTCAAACTATGCCAAAATTTGCCATATATTAAACTATGCAATTTAGCAGGCAGTATGAATATTGGGCCTTACTCATATGTATTTTAAGGAAAGTTCTATGATTTTTAAAAAAGGCACTTTAGGAATAATTTATTGTAAAGCTTTTTAAAACTCACCTCTTCCTAAGTGACACCAA